CCTACTCCTATCATTTTCAGAAATGACAGCATTTGAGATTGCCCAAAAGTGCCCCAGACAGTTGTTCCTTGTGAGGAGAATAGCAGTCTCCTGTGGGTTTAAACTCTGGGAGACTGCTATTCTCACAAAGAGCAAGTGTCTGGAGCACTTGTGGGCAATCTCAGATCCTCTCCTTGTCTGGAGAAGAATTACAAAGAGCTGGTCTTTGTGGTTCTTCATTCAGCTGCAGTCATCAGATCCACTTTTAACAGAACTGTCATTGTTTCTCCATTTCTTTCTCAGAACTGTCAAAAGAGCTTACTTTCAAGTAAGTAAGTTTCAGTTTTAGAGCTGAAATCACTTTATGCCTGAGATTGTAGGGGAACCTGAGCTGGAAATTATAAAGAAAAGAACAGTTATACAATAATTTGCCGAATTCTTAAATATACATGTGGGCACGGTATAAATTAAGCTTATTTCTGGTGAGTAATCAGCAGGGAAATCCAACTGTGAGCCTCCAAAGTAGCATTTTTTTGCTTGCTTGAAAATTAAATATGTATCATAGCTGAGGTTTTTTTTGTAATATTTTGCTATTACAAAGCAGCAGGCAAAATTAATCTGCATTGTTTGAATCTCCCTTTCTCTGCATCCTTCTAATATATTCATATCCTGATCTATGCCCACCTCAGCCCTAAAATGTCTTGCAGAATATATCCTATGAACTCACTATACTATTTATATACAGAATGATTAGTTACACTGAGATGCAAGTATGCATGATTAACGTTATCAGGGAAATTATGGTCTAAAATTGAGTTAAATCAATATTAGGTTCCTTGACAACAAATATATTTGTCACGGTGTCATTTATTCTTATGGGTTGGTTTTTTCCCTTTCCCTTTTTGGTAAACCACTCTTAACTCAAAATTTATCTGAAAGTTTCTTTCTGCAGTCAAATTAAAGTATTACTTTTGGCTGTGAATATGTAAGGCTGATTAACCAAACAGCAATAGGTAAAGAAAATGTATTAGAGTTTAAATATGGAAAAGAACAATTATTAAATGTGTTCTTTTTAAATTAGTTTTTAAGCAACTGTTTGTCAGATTTATTGAAAAAGTATAGAACTCATCTTCATTGAATGAAACACATGTTAAACTGATACAAATGCTATTATAAAGATTCCAAACAAATAATGTTAGCATAATGTAGAAGTTTTTTGTTCTAGCTATGCTTTAAAGGGATAGTAACTGGTTTTTATGCTAAGGTCTGTGTTTGACAGAAGGGAAGGATGCCGAAAATTGTAATGCTGTTGTGGTTCATCGACTGCCAACAGAGATAGCAGATGAGTCAGAGGAGATGGAGGGGGTGCCTGGGTTACCATTGGAGCCGGCAGAAGGCTCTGAGGAGCAGGAGGTCTCAGAACCACTGCAGAGCCAGGCCCATCTACTCAGACTCAGGCAGAGAGACAGCTGTTTTCGGTGCCTGAGCTGAGCAAGGGGGAGGAACAGCTGGGCCCTGTCCCAGATGTGCATATGCGCAGAGAAGTGTGGAGAGGAGAGCAAGGTAGGACTGAGTGCCAGGGCCAGCTATCCAGGAAAAGAAGGAGACGTTAACAAGCCCTTCCCTGGCTGGGATATAAGGAGGAGGGGTGTGGGAGGCATGGTTGTAGGAGACATCCAATCATGCTCCAGAAGAGTTCCCTCTGGTGGATTCCTTGCCAGGATTTCCTTGCCACTAACCAGGTTGATCAGGACTTTTTGTGTTGGGATTGAAATGCTAATTGAGGCTCTTTGCGGGGAATTCAGAGACTGTTATGGCTTGTGAATCACCTACAGATGTGTGACCTGGACCTTTGTCAGTGAATGTCATGTATTCCTGCCTTTCTAAATAAAAAGGGGTTTCTCCTCACGAATAGGCTCTTGAGTGGGGTTCGTGAAGGCTGGGTTAGAACAGATGCAAATGTCCATGCAAGCCTGCTCAATGGCAAAGGAATCTGTGTGGACAACAATAAATGCAAATCACAGAAGATGTGCCTCCTACCTCTGAACATTATAGGATGGCTATTATTGGGAGCTGTGCCTTCTCTTAAATGTAATGGGACAACATAGATCCTACCTGAGCCTTTAGATCTACCTTCTCATCTACCTTCCTTCAAAACTTCCTCTTAGGACCTACTTGGTCCCTCCCTTCAGTCATTACTAAGGCTTTTCTGAGGAAAAAAATACACACACACATATATTTTCATTATTTATTTATTTGATTTTTTTTATCCTGGTTTTATTACTTTAAAAGTAACTCAAGGTGAATATATACTATATACTTCCTTCTCCAATCAGTAAAGGAACATGAATTATTTTCTTTACATTCCTGATGCCTTGTTCTCTCTCTCACCTCCAGGAAAATGGGGATGGGGAGGACAACCTACAAGAGAGAGTGAGGAAAGGTGGTATTTAAACAAATTACTGTCAGTAGAGATATGGCCAGTAGGGAAAAAATATTTCTTTTGGAAAGAACCTATTCTTGACTAAAAAAGAGTAAAAATACTGTGTCACTATAATTGGATTGGATTAGAATGATCCACATATGGAATGTTTAAATAAGACTTAAATGAATAGTAGATTACTGAATTGGTCAGAAATGTTAAACTTGTACTATCATAAAATACGATGAAGATAATGATGATGATGGGTTTTTTAAATTATTGTTCTAGATCTGTCAGCAGTGGCTCACACAGTGTTTCTGGAATTATATGGACTGGAGAGAGATCTGTCATTATATTGCTATTTGTATTTTCCTTGGCCCAGATTACCAGATATATATGTGCATATCTGTGTTCAAACATCTACAACAAGAAATCCTTCAACATACCCAGGCTCAGGATCTTCAAGTTTTTCTTAAAGTAATCACTTCTTTATCTTTTTGCATGACTTGGACAGTCTTTTGGGGGATTGGTGTCCATCCATGGTTGGGAGGGTTCTGTGGTGGAAAATGGCCGAGTTGATGTTACCAATTTTTTTTCCTCAGTAGATTAAGGAAAGCACTTTTTAAAATATTATTTGGATTAACATCTTACAAATGTTTTGGTTTTTTCTTCCTTTAAACTTCCTTTAAGCTATTGTTCGGTTGCTGTCTTTGGCAATCAGGCCAGAGGGGGACTTCAAAAGGCTTGTGAAAAACAGGATGCCCAATTCTCTTTTTATGGTTTACAAGACTTTGAAATTAGTCATTCAGAGACATCAAAAGCAAATGTTTTATAATGGTCATTTTCAGCTGGTTAATTTTTACTTATATGCTTCTCTATTGACAAAAAGAAACATATCAGTGCTTTACAGAAAAAAGTGTATAAGATATCTATATCACGTGGCACAGATTCCTGTTAGTTTATTCTACCAGGAATGAGCTATAGATCCAAAAGCCAAACATTGTGACTGACAGATATTGAATCAAATTATCTCCTTGTGGAATTTTGGCTGACTCCATTAGAAATAAAACATTGGATTAAATAAATATTTGAACTTCTGATCCAACAAAACAACTTTTAATGTTCCTAATGCATTTAGACCGTGCATCAACTATGCAAAGAGAGGGTGTGGTACAGAACTGATAGAATTTTTGTCATCTTTTTTGTAAAGAGCTCAACCACTTGTATCGGTATGGGTGTGTGTGGAAGTGGAGGTATTGGTCTGTTTATTGAAGAAGAAAAATCACAGGTCAAACACTTTTTTAAAAATAACTGAGTTAAAAAAAATTGGAAAAATATTTTTTTAAAAAAATGGAAAGTTACATTTGTATTTATACTGAGTATACAGTATGTGTCTGTATACATATAAATGTATGCATGGACGTATGGAGAAATATCAATATCCCTGTTCAGAATTTCTGCCCAGTTTGATGATTGTGGCTAACCAGTAGGACTGTCTCAAGAAATTAGATAGAATTGGACACTCGGTTAGTGCTCATAGTCTAAGACAACAGCAAACATCTTTCATAGGGTTGCCAAGCCATTGGTTTCAATACTGAGCATTGCTTTAAGGGTGACTTTACCCTTTGTTCGATAACTTTATCAAGAATGTAATTTGTACAGATGGAACTTATATAAAGAAAAAAAATTGTTTGGGTGGGGAAGAGATGATTTCTCTCATACAAACTACATGGTCCATCCTTGAATGCATTCTCCTCCCCCTTCCTGGAATGCACTGATCTAAGAATTTCCCAACTGATTTTCCTGGTTTTTTTCCATAAATTCATGCATCTATAGAAAATAATTTCATTGAGCAGGAAGTGGTTTGTCGCCCTGAAATAGATTGGGCAGTTTTGTATACCCCTGCTTGTAAGAAAACTGGCTTTCAGATTTTTTTTCATGTTACAACTGAAGGTATTTGAAACTGGAATAAAGGCTGTTAATGGGAAGATTTCATGGAAATCTGTGCATCTGGTTAAGAATTTTCAAAACATCTGGTGAACACCTTGAAAAAAAAAATATGGTCAGGCATTTTGATCATATTAGAAATAGTGAACCAGCCAAGAGGAATTCCCTTACCTAAGGACTTTTCTTGAGCTCATGTATTGTCATCAGATGATATCAGGATTGAACAGAGATTTCCTGTTCCATAGTTCATTCTGCTGTGTCAATATCAGCTCAAGAAAGGAATATGAGAGGAGATACTAATTTGTAGGACTATTGTCTTACCAAGAGCTTTTTGAAAATTCTACTTTAGTGCTGACCTATTCTAGAGAAGAAGTCAATATATAATTTTGATGATTGTTAATGTAGGTAGTATATTTTTTCCTAATCTATTTTCTCTCCTCTCCTCTTCTGAAAATCAGTTTCCTAATGTGGGAATGTATCTTTTATTATCTTTTAATTAAATATAAAACTAAAATTCCAAGCTTGACTATTGTGTGTGAAAAATAAATGACTTTTGACATTTTTGATTAGTCCAATTTGATATCCAGTATATGGTAATATTTTTAAAATAAGAAAAATCAAATTAATTGTTAAAGCACATTATCAAGCCTCTGTCTATCTGTAACAGCCTTTTCATATGAGTGCCCAAGTATTCTATTAATTTGGTATCTTTGACATTAATTTTAAAATACAGTGGCAGAATTTATAGTTCTCATCATGTAATAGGTGACAACATACCAGAGCAACTCTCCTTATGTTAACATCTGATGACAAGCTGTCAAGATTTCATAGTTCTTAAGATACAGAGGCCAATTATAGGTCAAAACTTGCAAAGCTCTCATTAAAACGTACGGAACACAACTGGGAGGAGCAATTTTTATAATCTGTAAGAGAACAATATTTGAAGAAAAAGCCTAGAATCCTGATTTAATTGACTTGGTAGGGTTGACGAGTCAAATCCACAACATACTGATTCCAGCTGAGGCTTAATTAAACCACTCTGGATTTAGCTGGTTAGGGATTACACTCTTAAGAATATAATATTTGTATTAAAATAAACAATGCTAACTATATGAAAACAAACCAATGCATCATTAAAATGGCTATTTAATTAGCTCTAGCTCTGGATAAGAACTGGTTGCAAATGAGCTTGTCTATCACTATCTTAAGCCACTCAGCCATCTTCCCTTTTAATGGAATTCAGATGAGCATTGTAACAAAAGAACATCTGTATCTATGTTGGTGACTTCCATTATACCTTGGTTTTGCATACAGATTTCCCATGCCTTATTGAAGCAAGTGACTGCAAACCTGTCAGATAACAGGAATATTAATTGCTTTATGATTTTAGGGAACAAAAACTTTCAGAAAGGAAAATAATCCTGCTTTACCTATTATACCACCGTTTCGAAGTTTTACCTATTATGCTATTGATTCGAATCCTTATTTGTTCCTTATTGGAAGTCTTGCATAGTTCCCTTCTCTCTCTCTCTCTCTCTCTCTCTCTCTCTCTCTCTCTCTCTCTCCCTCTCCCTCTCTCTCTCCCCCTCCCTCCCTCCCTCCCTCCCTCTCTCTCTCTCTCTTCTATAGAACCGAAAGGTCTAGCTTTCTCTGTTGGTACATTTAGCATGTTAAACTTTCCAAAGTACCAGGTAAATATTAATAGGAAAAAATAAAATTAGCTAGTTTTGAAAAATAGAATTCCTTAACTTAATAACACATTATGTGGTTTTTGTTTTTCCCTCCGCTAACAATACTTTTCTTCTGTACAATGTGCAGGAAGAAGCACTCCATGGATTTCAGGTGAATAATTATGTTGAGTATATGGAAAGCTTGGCTCAAACCTACAGACCAATTCTATTAAGAGACATGAGGAATATTGGAGTGCCAAGCACGTAGATCAAGCAGATGAGCACATCATTTCAAATTTTACTTATGTACTTTAAGGGGACAGTGATTGTTTTATTTCCTTCTCCATAAAAAATGTATTCATTGTAGCTATCCTTGCAGCCAAATCAATAAGGTTTTTCAGCATACCATTTTCACAAGACAACATCCTCTAAATTGGATCATCTGAAAAATAATGTGTTTTTTTAGCCAGGTGTCATTGTTTGTTTACACTTGGTTTCAGAAATTAGTTTTGAATTACTTAAATGTTCTGTTTATATTTTCCAAGAAGCAGTGTCTACACTATTAAACTTTGCTTCCTAACATTTCTAAATTGCTGAAGGTTCAGTAGTAAGGAACAAGAATGTGCACATAACTTCTGAGCGCTGCAAAAATTAGCTTGGGAGGTCAAAAAATAAAATATACTGAGTGGTCCAGTTTGAAGTGTAATGAAAGATTTGTTATTGGTTTTTGCTGTAAATATTTTTTTAAAAAATAGTACTGTACACTCTAAACCATTTACTTGAAGTTGTAGAAGGGAGTAAATTAACACTTCTGTAGATTTGTTAATACAAATGTAGATTTTATTCTGCTTTATTGAAACTAAATGTAAAAAAATAAAACTTTGGGAACATACATGAATATTGATAACATGTTTATTTGATCTTGAGTTATGCTCTCAACAAATCTGTTGAGAATCATTATTGTTGGAAGAAAAATCCATCTGGTTCACTTCCAAGCACTTCCAAAGGCACTGGAGATAAAATGGAGGCTGGAGGCTGATTGGAAAGAAAGGTTCTCTTCATTGATGAAGCAGAACCACCAACCACATGTGATTCTGGGCAGCTGACAAAATGGAGTTTAGAGTGGGTGGGTTTTTATAACTTCTGGATTCCTATGGGGGTCATGTAGGGGTCATAGCTGGCTCTATAGGCAAAAGAGGAAATGCAAATCCTAGCTGTTTGAGCTAATTTTATCAATCTTTTGTTCGTTGCTTTTCTGAGTTTCTGTTTTTAACCCAGACTTTCTGAATGGATTATCAAATCTGCATTTCTAAAAGCTGGCCTCCTCAGTTTCTCCTTGGGGCAGGGAAACGGGCTGGTTTTTGCCTCCCTTAAGATTTTTTTTTTTTTCATTTCTCCTTTAGGGGGATATTCTATCCTGCCTTTTTAATATTTCCCAAAATATTTCATTCTTGGGGTTGGAAGTCCTTGGAAGAAGTTAACTTCTTTGTTTTCCCATCCTCTCCAGATTGAGTGAGAAGTTTCAGATGAGTTCTTTTTTGAACCCGAAGTTGTTTATAAGAAGCAATTAACTAAAGCAAAACCCTAGGTAGATTCTACAGGCAGTCTCAGGGCAAAGTCTTTGGACTGTACAAAATATACTTGACTCAGATCCCCTAGATCAGGGGTCGCCAGCCTTTTGGACCTCAGGGACCACCAAACTCATAATTTTAAATCGCGCGGACCAGAGACCCTGGGAAAATTCCCCAAAAAGTCTGCAGGACTGTTTTCCTATCGGTCGATCATTCTTTATTTGGGATCACAGGATACTATCTCCAGTTCTGTTCTCGGGGGGAGAGAGAGAGAGAGAGAGACTTTTGGCTTCATGCAAGGAAAGCAACAGAAGCAGCAGAAGTCTTTCTTTCTTTCCCCCAAACTCCACCAGAAATTAGTCTTTGTGAGATTTGTCGCACCGGCGTAGCCTCTTGGAGCAGGATGCCTTGCACAGTCCCAAAGACTCATTTCTGGTGGAGTTTGGGGAAGAGAAAGAAAGACTTCTGCTGCTTTCCTTGTGCGCAGCCAAAAGCAGAAGAAGAAAGAAACAGAAAGAAGCAGCCCAATGGCCAGATGAGGCGCATGGGGTGAGTGGGGCAAATTCCCCTCCTCCATCCTTTCCCCCCTCCGCTCACTACCTTGTGTTGTTCACAATGCGAACAACGCAAGCCTTGTGTTCCCATGGGCCATGTGGGCGGCGCAGCCTTGTATTCTCATGCAGCCTGGATTAATTGCTTTGGGGGGGTGTTTTGGGGGTGACATCTCTCTGTGGACCACCAAAAAAAATTTGTGGACCACCAGTGGTCCCCGGCCCACTGCTGGTGACTACTGCCCTAGGTTATCATATGAGGCTATAGTTGCACAGAAGACCTACCTTTTGAAAGCAGTGGTTCACAATTCCAGTGGATGACAAGGTCCAGAAAAAAACAAAAGGCATCAATCTGCTTTGTATCAATTCCTTATCAGAGATACCATTGACCATCAAGAGTTACTGAGTGTGGTTCTTTTATCCTAATTTACCTGGGTTTGGCAAGCAATCTTCAGTCCATTTTGGATTGAATTAATCATATCCATTACTTTCAATTTATGCAGCCCTAATGATAAAAAAAGTGCCAGATAATATTTGTCAACCCATCAATTATGCTGTCATCTCGCAACATGAGTGATTATTGCACAGACCCCTGGATGCTTTTTCCCTCCTTTAATAGGGAGATTGGCTAGAGGAGGTGGTCTGTAGTAGCTTTACAATGTGGTGGGAAATAAGTCAAATGCAGTTACGTGACAGTTCGTGACTTCATTGCTTAGTGATAGAGTTGTGAATCCCAATTGCGGTCAGTAGGTGAGAACCTCCAGTACATTAGGAAGTCAAAAGAAAACCAAAATCCTATGAAGTTTGCCCTACTTTTTATTATGAAGAAAAGTACATGGAGATCTGTAATCACTAGATTTTGAGTATGAATTGGAGGAAATGTTATCTTTTCTCAATATTTCAAAATTTAATAGAAGTTGCATATATATATAAGAAGATGCCACTATTCCTGTCTCATGTTTACTGAAGCAGATATTCTATGACTATCTTGACTATCTGATTCTTGAGATCTCCCTAATGTTTCTTGAAATTACCCAAATGACTCCAGCAGAAATTCTTATCTCAAAACCCTCTAGTGATTTGTGTATGTACCATTAATTTTCTTGGGAATCTGTGTATCAGATTCTTCCCAAATAAATATGCTATACTGAATTATATATAGTATAAACATACCTATATATTTCTGACAAGACAAATATGTATCGCGGAGTGATGCAAAGGCTTTCAGCTACAGCCTCTTGAACAGCTAATTTGCGCCTAGAAATAATGCTCATGTTAGGAATGATAGTCACCTAACAGTTGGGTTGGCAATATATAAACCAGGATAGTAATTTAATACTGTATCTTTAAGAGAATGCTGTAAGTGTGATTGGCTGAGGGTCCTCCAACGGCCATAAGATGGAGCCAGAAACCTGGTTTCTTTCTCCTTGCATTTCCTGTTTTGCCGTATTGCCTGATTGTCATTCTGCTTGGATTGCTGTGAGTCTTGCAACTGTTAGCAAACTCTGTTTACTGAACTCTGTTTATGATACTTGACTTCGTTTTTGGATTATCCCTGGACTGATACTAACTGCTTTAACCGTGTATGATTTGGACTGTTTGTTGGACTTTGTTTACCCGTTTACTGGAAGTAAAACCTGCATTTTACTATTCAGTGTATCTGTATGCTGGTCGTGTGTTATTCAACATCACTCTCACTACGTTTCCCTGAGTGCACTAACAGGGAATACCTCAACTGCTCAGAAGATTTTTCATTCCTAATTGCTGCTTTCTTTTTACTTTATGCCAGAGGCTGATCTGTAAGTAAACTGTATTTGTGGATTGTCAGCCTCCATGCCATGACTAAGATACTACCCACACACTTGATCTTAGCTAAAGACTGAGAAGCAATTAAGAAGTCAGTGTGCTTTGAATATTTAAAAAAGAAGGCTTACAGTTGTAAACATATTTTTATGTACAAAACCAGGGCTGTCAAACTCTCGGCCTGAGAGTCGGACTTGTCATGCCCGGTTTAGCAAAGGGGAAAGTCACAATACGTCACATGATGATGCCGTGACAACATGAGTTTGACACTGATTCAATTTTTTTTTACTACCGGTTCTGTGGGCATGGCTTGGTGAGAATGGTGTGGCTTGGTCGGTGTGGCTTGGTGAGCCTGGCAGGGGAAGGATACTGTAAAATCCCCATTTCCACCCCACTCGTGGGGAAGGATACTGCAAAATCCCATTCCCTCCCAACCCCACTAACCTGCTTTCTAGCTCCGTTCTCCTGTGCGGGGCAACAAAAGAAGACCCAGCCAATCAGCTGGGACTCGGGAGGCAGAGAATAGATGGGGGCGGGGCCAGTCAGAGGTCGTATTTGCTGGTTCTCTGAACTATTCAAATTTTCTGCTTACCAGTTCTCCAGAACTGGTCAGAACCTGCTGAATACCACCTCTGCCCTATACTACGCCATCATTTACTGCGTACCCTTGAATAAGACTTCCAAAGCATTTAAGGACCCAAGCCATAGCTATTCTGAAAGGAGAATGGTAAGGAAAAAAAACCCAGCTTTTATTTACCTAGAAGTGGTTTTGAAGATTCTAACCTAGTAACAATCCTAAAGCAAAGGAGTCAATGCTTTTGAAGAAAGAAACAGCAGTAGAATACAACTTGGAAGCAAGAAAAAAGGAAAGGGACATTCTATTTTGTTTCTGTTTTTAATGTCTATTGTAGCACTGTCTTCAAATATATTTTGCAACACTGTTAAATTTGCAGTCTGCGGTGGTACACATGCATTCAAAATACCTAATTTAATGTGCTAACACACACAAAAAAAATAGCCTGTTTTGGAGGAAGAGTTTTCCCAGCATTTAAATTCAACATTGATTTAGAAAGCTCAAGGTGTTCAATATTTTTAACAGCATCTAGTTTAAAATTTAATTCTGTGTGGAACCCGACTTGCTGATATCTTATATTTGTTCTTTGTGTTAGTTCAGCGGTTGCCAACTGTTGGGCCGTGGCCCATTGTTGGGCTGTGAGAAAATTTTGGTGGGCCGCAGAGAAATCTCACCCCCAGAGCACCACCACAAAAGCAATTAATCCAGGCTGTGCAGAAACACAATGCTGCGCCGCCTACATGGCGGCCTCTCTGCCCACTCACTCCTTACCCGGTAAACTTGCCTGCTCAATTTCTATTTTTCCTTTTTCCGACCATCATCTGTTCTGCTGTGCCAGAAGATTTAGATTAGCTAGGAAGCAGGAAATGGTTGGATTTCTTGCTTTCTAGCTAGTCTTTAGATCTTCGGCTCAGCACAGCTGAACCTCCCTTAGGACTGAACATTTGCTTGTAAGCAAATTCAGTGCAGACTCATGGCAAGCAAATTTGAGAGACTGAGCTAGCCGATGGAAGATAGATCACTGAATGATTCTGTGAGCAACTCAATCTGCCTGCTTTGCCTGATTTTGGGTAAAAGTTGCTCTTTTTTATATAAAAAAATCAATATTTACATGTATGGTGTGTTGTGAGTTAATTTTGTGAGTGCTTGCTAGCAAATTTTATGAGTTTGCTTGCAAGCAAATTTTATGTGACAGACTGAGCAAGCCAATGGCAGATAGATAGATCTCTGAACGAATCTGTGATTCTGTGAGCAACTCAATCTGCCTGCTTTGCCTGGTTTTGGGTAAAAGTTGCTCTTTTTTTATAAAAAATTCAATATTTATATAAATATTTATAATATTTACATACAAGCCATGCCCAGCCAGTCACATGACCACCAAGCCACACCCACA